AGAGACCGACAGGGAGTGAAGGAGTTCAGAGCTAAGGTTGTCGCTGAAGCCCTTGAATGTGCAAATTCCATGACATTCCACACACAGGGAAAGGGTTGTTAATACAGCGCAATAAAAATCTCACGTGAGCTTAGCCTACGCCATTGCAAAAAAGTCCCCCCCTGTTTATTTTTGCATTTATTATGCTAACTCACACATCCGCCAGAAATTATGACTTCCAGATGTGCACGGGAACCTTTTCAACACTTGTTCAGCTTTCGTTTCCAAACTTTTGTTGTGGGACACGCCGCAAAACAGTCCCTACACCTCTTCAGCCTCAAATGCTCAGAATAATCCAAGTAGCTAATTCCAGGGATATCCTCAAGTTTTTTAAAGTTTTTTTTTTCTCAAGCTTCCATAATTTCTGGATCACTGTGGCCTAGGAATGTAGCATTCAAGTCAAACAGTCAGGCAAAATTAGGACTCCGTTTCTAGGGGCGGGGGGGGGGGGGTAATTTTACTTGAAATTTGCAGTCTTTGGCAGCTCAGTGGCCTTGCTCATTTAAGTAAAGGGTTCCTGTGGCCAGATTTTGCTCTAGTTAGTAGTTGGAACAAAGTAGGCGGAGAATGATCTCCACTGGAGCTAAATGAAGTCTGGACTGAGCAGCTGTGAGCGCAAATGCACACACGTTATGTGACAAGGCAGATTCCCTCTTTACTGCAAGGCACTCGGTGCCTGAAAATTGTGTTTAGATCAGTGATGGGATTCAAAATTTTTTACTACCGGTTCTGAGGGTGTGGCTTGGTGGGCTTGGCTTGGCTTGGTGGGCATGGCTTGGTGGGTGTGGTAGGGGAAGGATACTGCCAAATCCCCATTCCCTCCCCACCCCATTAACCTGCTTTCCAGCTCCGTTCTCTTGTGCAGAGCAACAAAAGAAGACCCAGCCAATCAGCAGGGACTCAGGAGGCAGAGAATAGAGGGAGGCGGGGCCAGTCAGCGGTAGTATTGGCCGGATCTCCGAACTACTCAAAATTTCCACTATCGGCGCGCACAATTTTTGGCACAGGAGCCCCAAAAGGTTAGCCACCACTGCCCTATACCATTCCAGGCAAGTGGCTGTCTAGTCTCTTCTTAAAAGCTTCCAGTGATGGAACGCCCACAACTTCTGGTGGCCAGCTGTTCCACTGGTTAATTGCCCTCACTGCTGGGAAGTTTCTCCTAATTTCCAGGTTGCTTCTCTCCTTGGTTAGTTTCCATCCATTGTTCCTTGTCCTGCCTTCTGGTGCTTTGGAAAATAAGTTGACAACCAACCCCCCTTCTTTGTGGCTTCCCCTCAAATACTGGAACACTGCTATAATGTCGTCCCACCCCCGCAGTCCTTCTTTTCATTAGACTAGCCCAACCCAAATCCTGCAACCGTTCTTCGTATGTTTTAGTCTCCAGGCCTTTAATTATCTTAGTTGCTCTTTTCTGCACTTTTGTTCAACATCTTTTTTGTAATACGGTGACCAAAACTGGATGCGGGATTCAGTGGCCTTAACTGAGGCTGTATAACGTGGTTCTGATACCGGTACTAATAATAGTGGTACTCATGGAAGTAGACAGATCCGTCTTCCTAGCCCATGCATAGAATTCAAATCCCGCCAAACTAAACAGGATGAAGAAGTAATAAGAGCTCAACTCAAGTTCAACACTAACCTAGTGTGTCAAGCCTTTTGTATGCGACTTTTTATGGCGGAAGGGGTGTTGTAATTTCTGTGCCTATGGTCCTAATTCAGCCCCTTAAACCGTCAAGTCCATAGTCCAAGAGATATGGGTAGTCCTCGACTAATGACCACAAAGGAGCCCGACATTTCGCTTGTTAAGTGAGACATTGCTTTAAAGTGGGCTTTGCCCCATTTCTTGCCACGGCTGTTGAGTGAAACACCGCAGTCAGGGGTGGGATTCAAATTTGGTGACAAATGGTTCTGTGGGCGTGGCTAGGTGGGCATGGCCGTGTGACTGGGAGGGCGTGGCTTCTTCTTTTTTGCAGCAAACCCCCCCCATTTTGGGGGGGGGGCTTCCTGGGTCTCAGGGAAGCCTCCTGGGCAAAGCAGTAAGTAAGCAAGGGGAATCCCGGCACAGCTGATCATCGGAACAGCTGATCGGCGGAAGAGGGGGGAAAAGGAAATACCTTAAGGAGTGACTGGGCGGGGAAGAACGCAGTCACCGATGTTGCACATGCGTGATAAGGACTGACTGGGAGGGGAGGGGTGGGGGGAGAGGGGCGGGGCAGCCGGGGGCATGATTTGGCGGTTCTCTGAACCGTGCAGAATCGTAACGACCGGTTCCGTAGAACTGGTCCAAACCGGTAGAATCCCACCCCTAACTGCAGTTGATAAATGTGTAAGCCGGTCGTTAAGTGAATCTAACTTAAACATTGACTTCACATGGTTTGGGACTCTGGTCAGTGGTCGTAAGCATTAACCTCGTTGCCAAGCTGGTATGGATTTTGATCCCGCAGCCCTGGGGATACAGCCCAAGGTTGTAACTGAGAAAAAACAGCTGTACATCACTTCATTCAGTGCCGTTGTAACTTGGAATGGTCACTAAATGAACCATCATTAAGTCGAGGACTAACTGTAACTTCCAAATCTTTGGGGGAATGCCTCGGAATCCTTAAGACTGTTTAAAACTCTGGCTAGAGTAGCAGCTATTGAGTTAATCCTGAGTGGCTTCTGGAGAACAATTTGCTCTCAGTCCCCCATACGGCTTTTTCCTGGCCAGCAAATTTGAGCCTGGCACTTACACTGTTTGTGTCCTGGAAAGCGAGGTCAGTTTCTCAACTCAATCTGAACAAAGATCTCCTTCAGTCAAGTTTGACTCCTGCCAACTAGCCTCTTCCTTCAATTCCCCCACCCCATCCCATAATTGCCTTGTGATCTCCTTTACAAGTCTTACCAAAGCCCAACTCAATATAGGTTCCTGGCCAGGCCCCAGACAAAGTCACCTACAGGTAGTCCTTGATCTTCCACCACAATCATCTTCTTTTAACGACTCCATAATCAGGGGTGGGATTCTACTGGTTTGTACCGGTTCTATAGAACCGGTTATTACGATTCTGCGCAGTTCAGAGAACCGGCGAATCATGCCCCTGGCTGGCCCCTCCCCTCTCAACACACCCTTCCCCTCCCAGTCAGTCCTTATTGTGCATGCGCAACATCGCGTGCATGCCCAACATCGACAGCATTCTTTTCCCGCCCAGTCACTTCCTAAGGTATTTTTTTCCTACCGACGATCAGCTGTTCCAACGATCAGCTGTGCTGGGATCCCCCTCGCTATCTTACTGCTTTGCCCAGGAGGCTTCCCTGAGGCCCAGGGGGGTGGGGGTGCTGCGAGCACCCCCTACGCTCCATTGTTTAGCTTCCTGGGCCTCAGGGAAGCTTCCTGGGAGCAAAAACGCCAAAAACAGAGTGCACGGGGGGGGGGGTGTTGCAAAAAAGCCACGCCCACTCAGTCACATGTCCATGCCCACCCAGCCATGCCACAGGTGGCATGCAGAGCCGTTTGTGCGGGCATATGAGCCCCAGGCAAACTTATCTGCACTGTGCACGCGCACACCTCCCAGCTGATTTTCAGCCTCCCAGGGACTCGAGGGAAGCCTCTGCGGCCTTTGGAGGCCGAAAAACAGGCCCACTTCATCACTTCCTGTATTTCTGGAAATACCGGAAGTGATGAAACGGGCCCATTTTTCAGCCTCCAAAGGCTGCAGAGGCTTCCCTCAAGCGTCTGGGAGGCCAAAAATGTCTCAAACAGGCTGAAAATCCGCTGGGAGGTACGTGCATGCGCAGTGCAGGTAAGGGAAAGCAGGCAGGATCGTGGGCACATGTGCAGGGGGCGGGCGCATTGTTTTCTGGATACTGGCACAAGAGCGCAATTTTTGGCACAGGAGCCTAAAAAGGTTAGCCACCACTGTGCTAGGATAAAACATGATAAAGGAAAAGGACGTAAGTTCACCCACATTCCTAACCTCCCATGATCACACTTCATAATCGGTCAATTATAAAAAATGCATTAAAGTTTATAAATTATAATAAAAGCTATGAATCATAAATTACAATTATAAATTATAATTATTAATCAGTATTCCAGTCACAACTGGCATGGAGTCCTTTCTTATAGTCAACTACAGAATGCTCTTTTCATGCCATAACAGAGAAGTAGCTACATATGTCTCTCCCAGCCGCGTTTTCCTTTTTTGGTTTGGAAGCCAGCATCCCTTAATGTGTTTCTCGATTAATCCAAGCACAAGCATCAGGCAAAGGTCTCTCCCAGCACAACCAAAGGTTTCGAACCATTTTAGTCTTATCACGGCACTCCCAACCAATCCAGGCATTGCAGGCGAAGTTTTCTTATAAGGCTTCTCGTGACCAAAATTAGAAAAGCAAAAATTGCAGGCGTTTATTTGGCTAATTTGGGTTGCTATGAAAAGGGATATGACCACACGTTAAAAACAAAAAAACAAAAAACACCAACAACTGGAACACACAGCAAATCATCATCTCCTTTTAATGACCCTGTAATCCCTTGAGGGGTGGAGCCTGGGCAACTGAATGGAGCTAGCAGAGTATTTACTGGCTGGATGCTCTTCCTGTCACCAATGCGGAGTTTTGTTTCGGCAGAAATATATTCTCATCGTGCCCGGAAAGAGAGAGATATCTGCTTCTACCTAGAATCGAACTCACAGCCTCTTGATTGTGAGGCGAGAGCTCCATCTCTAGGCCACAGCACCAGTCTGGAACACACAGCAAATGCTACAAATGAAACACATGCCAGGCCAAGTCTCTAACCTGCTGCCACAGCGGTGAGCTGCTGGCCTGACCTGAATACCAGCCTGTTCCAACCTTCTCAGCTTCCTGATTTCCTCGGGACCTTTTTTCTCATTTGGGGGCGCAGCTGTTTGGTTACCAGAACGGGCGGGAAACTGAGGCCAAGCGTTCTTTGGACCCACGTCTGTCCGCACGGGCTTCACGGAGGGGGAGGCAGAGGCCATCTTGCTGCTCACCAGGTCCCCATTGAGTGTCACCAGGGGTTCCTCTTCTATGGTTTCAGGATGCTGTTTGCTATCGAGTTATATATAGATTATTAGGGAACGGGAGAGCTCGTCAGAGGCGACTCACTGCGGCCAACTGGCCACGGCCAACTCCCCGGAGAACAATCCCTCCATGTGGCCATTTAACAATTCTATTCCGTTATTTAAAATAAATACAAATCATGTTAATTTTTGCTATTGGCATTTCATTCGGTCCCCCCTTTTGCGTCCTTTTCTTTCATGTTTCTGTCCCGCCATCTCTTTGATATTAGTGTCATTCTCGTCCCGTGGCGAGTCGTTCTTGCGGTGAGTTGGCCGTGGCGAGTTGGGGAATTGTCACAGCCCCGATTATTACATAGCACGGGTCCGATTCCTTAGAACGTAGAACAACAGAGTTGTAAGGGACCTCGGAGGTCTTCTAGTCCAACCCCCACTGCTTGAGCAGGAGACTCTATATCGGGGTAAGCAACCCGCGGCTCTGGAGCAGCATGTGGCTCTTTCATCCCTCTGCTGTGGCTCCCTGTCACTCAAAATATGTGTCACAACAACCGCCAATGTGCAACACCCCCCGGCACGCAATTCATTGAGAAAGGGAAGGGAAGGGAAGCGGGGGAGGAGGAGGAGGAGGACTAGGGAGTCCTTGGTGGTCTCTGAACTTGGTTGGTTTCTCGCAGATGTTTTGTTACCCAGCTAGGCTACAACATCAGCACTCGAAGAGAGTAGGGTTTTCTCTAGCCTTCACCAAGAACTCAACAGTTCAACCCTGAACTACAAATAATTCTCTTCCGTTGGTGACATGTCCTTGGATGACATGACTTGGTCATCTGAAGTTTGGTCAAGGAGACCTTACCTGAAAGGTTTCTCTCCTCCTAGTGGAGATGACATTGTGCTCCAACTCTTCCGGAAGTCATCCCGTTCGGCTTTCTTCTTCCTGAGTGGAGCCGGGATATAGGCAGTCTGGTTATTTTTATTGGGAAGGTATTGGTTAAAAGGCACGACTGATTTGGGTTCACTGTAAGAGGTCCGCCTGGCCGACATATCATCCTTCTTCACATCTGGCAGCTTTCGATGTGGAAGGTCATTCTCCGAATCGCTTCCTCTTCCTGTTTTTTAAAAAACAACAATAACCATAAGCAAAGTTTCCAAATGGAAGTGAATTATGTGCTCCATGATCAAAATAGATTCCATTGATTTGGCCACAATGGAGTCATTCTTCTCTTTCCTGTCTTAAAAATGGACAGTTTGCAGACTTAAGACATGAAGTAAGGCTGCATTGCTGTTATCCTTTTCATCTTTCCTACTTACCTTCTCCTGTTGGTATCTTATGATTTATCACTTGTTTGTTTATAAGGTAAATGGTAAAGGTTCCCCTCGCACAAAACGTGCTAATGGTTTGCAGCTCTAGGGGGTGTTGCTCATATCTGTTACAAAGCCGAAGAGCCAGAGCTGTCCGAAGATGTCTCCGTGGTCATGTGGCTGGCATGACTAAATGCCGAAGGTGCACAGAACACTGCTACCTTCCCACCAAAGGGGTCCCCATTTTTCTACTTGCATTTTTTATGTGTTTTCAAACTGCTAGGTTGGCAGAAGCTGGGAGAAGGAACGGGAGCTCACTCCGTTACGTGGTGCTGGGGATTCGAACCGCCGAATTGCCGATCTTTCTGATCGACAAGCTCAGCGTCTTAGCCACTGAGCCACCACGTCCCAGTTTGTTGTTTATATATTATGATTTATGATTGTATCTAATGATTTTTATGATCTATGACTTATCACTTTGTTGTTTGTATGGACACTGAGAGCTTCTGCACTGCAGACAAACTCCTTGTGTATCCAATCACATTTGGCCAATAAAGAATATTCTGTTCTGTTCTGTTCCGTTCTTAGATTATTAACTGCCTTATTCTATTTTTTTGGTTTATGATTGTATCTTATTATTTATGATATATGGTTTATCACTTTGTTGTTTGTAGGTATACTGAGAGCTTATGCACTGGAGACAAATTCTTTCTAGGTCCTATCACATTTGTCCAATAAAGAATGTTCCATTCCACTCCACTCCACTCCACTCCACTCCACTGTACTCTACTCTACTCTACTCTACCTTCATACCAATACTCTATTCCATTCTGTGCTGTGCAGTTCTGTTCTATTCTTCATTCCAATATTCTGTTCTGTTCTGTCCCATCCCATCCTACTCTTAATTAACTGCCTTATTCTGTGGACAAAGCAAAGAATGCAATTTCCACTATGCAGAACTTGTGATACACCAATGATAATTCAGTGGAGAAAGAAAGAATGGAACCATTCAATAATATATTACTATCCTTAGAGACTTAACCAAAGGAATTCAGCCAAATTTCTCTTGCCATGATTCTCCTTCCAACAGCAAATGTTGTATGCCAAGTGGGCCAACCTTCCTCCCCACCCACCCCTTTTTTTTGTTTCTAGGTAGCTAATTAAACACCCAGAGTTGAAGCTGAAAAAAAGGGGGAAAAAGACCTTTGAGGGAAATGGGGCAAAGAAAGGAGCGGATTTCTGCATTCTGAAAGCCTTTCTGGCAAAGAAATGTTATGCGACACAACACCACAGTCTATCTAAAAGAAGCATGCTGGAAATTGGGAGAAAGGAGATTTCATCCTTACAGCAAAAGCTAAGAACCAGAAAACTATTTCAGAGGAGCCCAAAAGACAAAAAAATCCAGAAGTTATTTAAGAAGACATAAATATTTTAAGCAATCATCTAATGTGTTTAATTCTTTCTTCTCCAAACAATATCAAACAACGAAAGAGTAAAGAAAGGGCCCTATATATACCATGTTTCTCTGAAAATAAGACCCAGTCTTATATTTGGGGGGGTTCCAAAGCACCAGACATTTTTGGGAGATGTCTTTTTTTTTTTTATGCAACATTAAATTTGGGCTACAAAAATTCTCATGCAACTCCGAAGTTTGGTAAAGACTTTGGACTATAAATATTATAAGGATAAATTTTGATAACAACTGCACCTTCTTGTAATGAAACCTTGCGACAAACGGCTTAAAATCAGTGAGATATATAGCGTGCATAATTCTATGTTCAATCGTTGACTTAAATGCTGCACTTTCATTGCATTATTTGGGGAAAGTAAGATAAACATTACAGTACTTTCCTTCTTGACAACCTTTCGACTACTTCGCTCAGAGCACCGAAGAGCAAGATTTAAAAAAAACCCCTCCCTTAAAGAAAATATCTCTACTATGTTGCAGCTACTCGTGTCCATTAGAAAAATGTTTTTGCTAACAATGTTTACATTCAAATTATAGCTACTTTATTCAACTCAATCTTTCTTACGGTCCAGACAAAACGTTAAATATTAAAAGAAAGCAAAAGTGAGCAAAATCGAACAAAATAAGGCATAGGGATATATTACAATATAGTTACTCTAATTTTGTTAGCAGTTCCCATCAGGAAACATTTTGCTAACTATTTTAAGATTATTATTAAACCTACCGTAGTACTTTTGTTAGCAGTCCCCACTAGAACGCAGAATACTATTTGATATGGAATAGATTTTACACATGGTTAGAGAGAAGAGGTAGAAATTAGAGTAAGAAAGACAATGAATGTATCCATCAAAAATAGAGGGTTTATAATTATAATCACTATAATTTCTAAAAAAAAATGCAAATAAGATAATATAAAAAGAATCTTAGTTAAAAATACATGGTGATATTATTATTATGTGTTATTATTAGCATTGTTATCTTTATGTGTGTTAATATTTAATGTGGTATATACTTTATGAGTTTTTTGCTTGTAATTGGCACACCTTGACAATACACTGTATTCAAAATGTTTATGAACAAAATTATTTTAAAAAAAGAATTTTTGCTAATAATCTTTAGATTACTATGAAAACTACTCTAGTACGTTTGTTAGCTATGCCCATTAGAAAACATTTTTGATTGCAATTTTTACAGTATTATTAACCCTACCCTTAGTACTTTTGTTAGCAGCACTCCATTAGAAAGTATTTTTGCTAACCATTTTTTGATCCACGGGCCAAAACCAACTGACCAAATCAAACTCCTTTCCACGGTACACCAAGGTGGATTGTTTACATGCCAGAAGTCTGGTTCTCTTTAACTTTTGATCTCATGTAATTTGTTAAATAAATGACAGCCTGCTGTTCCCTTACTCTTCAGATGGAGGAAATCCCGTCTCATAAATTTGAGACCTGGTGCAGCAACTGTTCGCCCCACAGCCCACAGCTGGGAGGGGGTGGGGAAATAGCAGCCCTGCAAGCAGATTATTTCAAACTACAAGTACTCCTCAAGTTGCGACCCCAATTGAGCTCAACATTTCTGTTGTTGCCGTGTTTCTCGAAAAATAAGACCCGGTCTTATATTTGGGGGGGGGGTGTCTTTTTTCACCCCACATACAGGAGGTGGTGAGTGTGGGGACTGACGGGAGCACTGCTACCGCTGAGCTGGTTCTCTCTATCAGTTCCCATGTACTCTCTGCCTCCTGTGCTAGCCATCTCCCCCCCCCCACCCCCGGTCGGATGGCCATCTTTACTAAGGCTTATTTTGGGGGTAGGGCTTATATTAGGCATATGGTTAAAAAAAATCAGGCTAGGACTTATTTTCAGGATAGATCTTACTTTTGTGGAAGTTGAGACTTTGGTTAAGTGAATGTATCATGCCCCTGTTGGAATCTGATTCCAAGGGGGAGGTCGAGCAGCTGACAGGGAGTGGGAGTGTGGCTCCAGTGGCTGTGGAAGAAACTGGGGAAGGGAAAAGTCCAGCTGGGCATTCAGAGGAAGACCAAGGGCCACCTCCTCTTCATCCAAGGGCACACAGGGAGGAATGCAGAAGGGAGCAAGATGAGTTACAGGAATTATGGGGGAGAAAAGGGCCCTGATTCCCTTCATTGGCTGCGGCTGGAAAACAGGATAAAGAGGGTAATTGCATACAGCACCTTGCTGAAAGCAAAGCGTGAATTATCTTTGTCAAGTCTTATCTGGCTTCTGGCATCCTCCCAACTGTGTGTGTTTTATTATCTTTTGAAGTCTGCAATTCCTTATCCTGCCCTGTCTCATTAATTACTGCAGGGTGGTTTGTATTGGTTTTTATTTATAATCTATAAGACTGAATTTCTTCCCTTTAAAAACTGTCCTTAGGAGAGTTTTTTTCTTCAGCCAATGATAACTGGACATTGGGGGCCAAGTTGGAGATATTAAAGGGGTTTTACCTACCTTTGTGACTTTGTTGCTTTTGTGCTACACCCTGGGTCATCACAATGTTGCTGCATTTTACAACAGTTCCATTTAGTGACCGTTCAAAGTTACCACGGCCCTGGAAAAAGGTGACTTATGATCATTTTTCACATTTAACTGTACAACCGTTGGAGCATCCCCATGGTCACGTGATCAAAATTTGGCCATTTGGCCACTGGTTCATCTATGATGGCTGCAATGTCCTGGGATCATGTGACCTCCTTTTTCACCGCTTAGAGAGGACCAGAAAACACTGTGAAGCGGTACATAAGTGCTATTGTTATTGCTATATTCAACCTTCTGACAAGCCAAGTCAATGAGGAAGCCAGATTCACTTAACAACTGAGCCACTCATTTAGTGACTGCAGTGATTCACTTAAGAACCGGGGAAAAAGTTCACTTCACAAATGTCTCAACGACAGAAATTTTGGCGCTTCACTGCGGCCATAAGCCAAGAACTACCTGTATCTGTCCTGACCCGGCTCCCAAATACGACAAACCCACAGTAATTAAACAAATGTTCCCTTTTATTAGGCGCTCCAGCAGCCCCAGCAAAAAGTTTCTCTCACAGGCTAACAAGTCTGTCTGGCAGGGAAATGAATAATTGTCTGCCACAGCTATTTGTCTCTGTCCCCTGCCTTTTATCCCCAGAGCTAGGGTGGGGCTTCTCTGGCAGCGTTGGCTTTTCCGTCCCAAGGACCGGCCCTTAGATTTCCACTGCTCTCCTCTCCTCTGCCTTCTGTGCATCTGCAGGTCAGGCACTGGACCCAGCTGTTCCTCCTTTTCCTCATCAGCCACCTCCAGGGGGCTGTTGATTCTCCATAGGACAGCTGATGGACGTCCCAGGCTTCTCCTCCTCCTCCTCCTCCTCCTCCTTCTTCTTTCTCTCTCTCTCTCTCTCTCTGCCAGCTCCATTCCCTCTTCCCCCTCAGAGCTCTCAGGTTGTCTTGATACTGTCCCTAACTCCCACTCCCTCCTCCTCTGAATCGGCTACTGGAGGGGCCAGTGGCCGACAGGCCACAACAGTATCCATCTTTCTGAGGATCAAACTCTCGACGAGTTACCAAGAGAACATCCCACAGAAGCTAACTGTGGAAACTGTGGTATTTTAAGCATGACGGGGCTGTACGTTCTGTCTGGTCACCCAGAAAGGGAGCCTGGTTCCCTGGGGGTGGAGGTGGGGAGGGGTGGCACAACTCACCATCACTACTCCCTCTCAGCACCACATCTGGAGAAGGGGTCTGCTGGGAACGGGACCCGAAGGAATCCAGACTGTCGAAGGAATCATCTCTGCCATGACGCGGAGGGGAGAGAGAATCGCTGCGCTCTGAATCCCAGCAATCTACATAGCCGCTGTCGCGGATGCTGCGCTTCGGGCTCTCAATGTCTTCCGTGTCCTGGTGAGGAACAGAAGCCTGGTTAGAAAGGCACATCCACTAAGGCAAGGGTGCCCAACCCTCCACCCCCCACCGTAGGGGGTGGGCTGCTATTGGTTCGCACCGGTTCACATGAACCGGGTGTTAATTTTATATCTGGTTTGCCGAACCAGTGGTTTTAACAACTGGCTGGCCCCGCCCACTTCAGCCCTCCCCTCCCAGGAGTCTCCACGCGACCTGTTTTGGATCCCAGCCTGCAAAGAGACTCAGGGAGGATGAAAAATATGCCTTCTGGAGGCTACAGGCGGCCAGAAAAAGGCCCATTTCCAGCCCCTGGAACCCAGAGAGGCTATTTCCACCCTCCCAGAGGCTCGAGGAAAGCCTCCAGAGTCCGAGGAGGGCAAAAATGCCCCCCCCATGGTACAGGAGTCTGACTAGGCTATGCCATCATGGCCACGCCCACCCAGCAACCGGGCAGAGAACCGGTTGCTAAATTTGTTGAAGTCCTCCCTCCCTCGCCCCCTCCCAGTCCATGGTCCGGCACTGGGCCACAGCATGCTAGAAATTGGCCCGCATAAACAAGTGAAGCCCACCTGCAGGACGCAGGCAGCACACAAAATCACGCCTCCTCCGGTCCCCGGAGAAACCTCTCTCCACGGAACCAGTCCCCCCTGCCCCAAAGTTTAGCGGGTGGGGCACAGCTCTAAGGACTTCCTCGCACAAATATTCTCCTTTATTGAACACTCTTTGCTTTTAAACAGTGGACAATTCCATCTCAACCAAATCTGTTCTTTTTTTTTTAACCTATCCATTCCCCCCCACACACCGCCACCACCACGGTGGCCTGGACCTTTGTATTGACGGCATGAAGAGATGAACGATCTGTGGGGATTTAATCAGGGGTGGGATTCAAATTTTTTAAACAACCGGTTCTGTGGCGTGAATAGGTGGGCGGGGCCAGGTGGGCGGGGCCATGTGACTGGGTGGGCAGGGCTTTTTTTGCAGCACACACACACGGTGCTCCGTTTTTGGGCCTCCTGGGCCTCAGGGAAGCCTCCTGGGGGGCTTTTTTTACTCCCAGAAGGCTTCCCTGAGGCCCAGAAATGTAAAAAAACAGAGTGCAGGGGCGCAGAGTACTCATCCGTGCTCTATTTTGGGGCCTCCTGGGCCTCAGGGAAGCCTCCTGGAGGGGCGATTTTGTTCCCAGAAGGCTTCCCTGAGGCCCAGGAAGGCAAAAAACAGAGCGTGGAGGGGCCTGCAGTGCCCCCCACCCTTCAGGCCTTGTAACAACTGGTTCTATAGAACTGGTCTGAACTGGTAGAATCCCACCCCTGGATTTAAATAGGCCTGGCGAAGCAGGACAGCTGGAAAGAAATGAAAAGTCCACCCCATGTGCATTAAACTTGTAAAAAAAGAAATGCGGGTAACCCTCAATTGACAATGGTTCACTTAGTGACCGTACAAAGTTACGGCATTAGGGGAAAAAAAAGACTTAGGACCATTTTTCACACTGATGAGCACTGCAGCATCCCCACTGCCACAAGCTCGAAATTCAGGTGCTTGGCAACAGACTTGTACTTATGACGGTTTCAGCATCTCCGGGGCGTCACGTGATCCCCTTTTGAGACCTTCTGACAAGCCAACTCCACAGTAGAATCTGGGTCCACTTAACAACGGTGGCAGGAAAGGGTCGTAAAATGGGGGGAAACTCATTTAACAACAGGAATTTGGGGTTGTAAGTCAAGGACTGCCTCTAGTCTGCGCACACCTGGCAGCATGGCTGAAAATACAAGACAAAGAACTTCACCTTACGATCACAGTGGAGCCCCAAGTTCCCGTTGCTAAGCGAGACAGTTGTGAAGCGAGTTTCTCGCCCCATTGTACGACTGTTCTTGCCACCGTTGTGAAGTGAATCACTTCGCAGTTGTTAAGTTAGGAACACAATTGTTCACGCAATGCAACCGTCGTCAATACGAGTCCGTCGCCAAGTACCTGAATTTTGATCACGCTGCTTATGACTGTGGATTCTGCAACGGTCATTAAGTGTGAAAAGCGATCCTAAGTCGCTTTTTCTTCCCCCAGTGCCGCTGTAACTTCGAATGGTCACTAAATGAACCATTGTAAGTCGAGGACTACCCGAATAGCTCTTCCCCAGCGTTCACCCACGTGGATCGGATGCTACGGTGACCTCAGAAGAAATCGATTTTCTTCCTTGAAGAAGAGATGGGACAACCGTTTTGCCTGAAATGGTCTAAGGCCGTGATGGCGAACCTGTGGCGCACGTGCCGGAAGTGGCACGCAGAGCCATTTCTGCCAGCCTGCAAGAGGTCATCCAGAACAGCCCCACTGCACATGTGCACGCACCCCCCACCAACCAGTGGATTGTCGGCTATCTGCCACAAGGGGAGATGCGCACGCATGCGTAGGGTGTGTGTGGGGGTGCGGGATGGTCACGTGTGCACGCGCAGAGGTGTGCAGCACACAGGGGTGGTCACTTGTGCATGCGCATAGGCTTGCAGCGTGCAGCGGGGAGTCACGCGTGCTTGCGCAGGGGGTGGGCGGGGTCACAGGTGAATTGCATTATGGGTGGAGGCAAGCTTAGGTTAGCCATCAGTGGTCTAGGGCTATGTTGGCGAACCTATGGCACATGAGAAGTCACCTGGAATAGCCCCACTGTGCATGAGCATGCGCCTGCTTCCTTGCCTGAGCAGGAGGGTTGGACTAGAAGACCTCAAAAGCCCCACTGTGCATGCGCATGTGCACCCGCCAACCAGCTGATTGTCATCTGTCGCACATGTGCAAGGGGAAATGCACACATGGGATACGTGCATGCCTGTATAGGGAGTGTGGGGTGCACGGGGTGGTCATGTGCGCATGCGCAAGGCGCACGCATGCACAGAGGAGTGTGCATGCACAGAGGTGTGTGGCGCGCAGCGGGGGGGTCGCATGCGCATTGCATTATGGGTGGAGGCACGCGACGAGGAAAAGGTTAGCCATCCCTGGTCGAGGGTTTCCTTGCCTGAGCAGGAGGGTTGGACTAGAAGACCTCAAAAGGTCCTTTCCTGTTTCTGTTATTCTTATAACCGCTTTTCTGGCCACAAAGAGTTGCCGTAGCTTTATGCATCTACAACTTGTTGAACCACAAGCCAGCAGGAAATAAAAGACCATTTGCACACAAGACCCTGTGGGAAAACTGTAATTCGACTTCCCCGTCTTTTCTTTTCTTTTAAAAGCCTGTTTGTTTCTACCGTTGCGTCCAGCACAAAAGATCTCGGATGATAAGCCGGTAACATAATCCAGAGTAAGGATCCGTGGGGGGGGGGGATTACTTTTTAAATATTTCAACAAAATAGATCAACCCCAAACTTTGGGACTTCGCTGTCCCCATTAAAAGAAACTTTTCCCCCAAAACTCGATTCAAGTCTGCCGGGAACAGCAAAACAATATTTATGTGCGCACGCACACACACACACACACACACACACACCCCTTCCTTGCACCAGAACAGAAACAGAAGTTTACATTTACTGCAGGTAGCCTAAAATAAATCAGAATTCAGCGAGACCGTTTTTACACATCCGATTCAAGTAATAGTAATTGCCTTCATCATCCCACCCCCTCATTCAGCTGAGGAATCTTCCAAGGTTTTTCCAAAAAAGCACGTATCGATCCCAGCGGGAACCGTTGCAAAAAAACAACAACAACCCCAAAACTCGTTTTGACCCAATGCACATTTCCTAACACACCCACACCCGCACACCAAGGAGGTAAAATAACAAAATAAATAAAAACAACCTGAAACATGGCTAGTCCATTCTCCACAACGGCTTCACAGGCGCTGAGCTCCATAGCGAACGAGGTGAGGCATCCTGAGATTTTAACTTAGCAGGCAAAAGTAAAAAAAAAACCTTCAGTGAAGAGAGATTCCTTCGAAATCAGGTTTATTGATCTGGAAACTCCAGCAGGGAGAAAAAAAAAAAACCAAACTAATTTTGCAGCTTGTTGTGAGTCGAAATTAAACGGAACTGGCAACCAGTTTCGGTCTGCAGTTCTGGAAAAAAAGGGGATGTCTTTCTTCCTAAAAAAAGCAATCAGCTGTTTTTTTTTAAAAAAAAAAAAGAAAGAAAAAGAAAGAAAAAAAGGAAAGCAGACTCTTTCCCCCCGATGTCTCTGAAGAATTCAGGCTTGCTCTTTGCTTGTTGCCAGCTCCTGGCTGGAGGAGATCTGAAAGCACTTGTGGCTGCCACACATGTTCAGAGCGGGGAGAACAATGGACGTCTTTGACAAGGCTCCCGATTATAAATTCTTTCCAGTGCTCAAGCGGCACACACTAAAAAACTGCAGGAGAGAGCTCTCCAGAAGAAGGAAAGGTCAGGAGAACCCCAGTCTTATTTTAGGAAAAGGTTATCCCTTGTTTCGGCTAGGATCTTGGTTGAAAGAATGCAGAATGGAGCTGGGAGGGGCCTTGGAGGTCTTCTAGTCCAACCCCTTGTTCGAGCAGCAGATGTTATTTTTCTGACGTAGGCTTCCCAAGACCACAAAGCCGACTCCTCATCCCGATCAAACCCCTTTTTATTTATGGTTAAAGGGAATTCCACTCCAGCAAAGTCCCGGCAAACAGTCTTTCAAGAGATTTTCACAACTAGAGACCTTTTATCAGGCTGGGAGAGTTGCCAGGCCGATAGCTTCCAAACGCCATGCTATAGCAGCAATTACTTGGCAAGAAGTCAGGAACAGATCTTCGCACTAATTAAACGAACTAATTGTCTCCTGCAAACACCATTCCTCTTTCGCTCCTCTTTATTCCCTATGGGAGGGGTCATTCACCATCCACTTGAGCCTTTACTCCTGAGTTGACCCTTGTTCCTTAACTGTTCCCTTCTCCTGGCAGCTTTGTGCATGAGCACACCGGGAACAGGCTCCAGCTCTTCTTCTGCGTCACTGATGTCCAACTGCAAAGGCAGCAGATAACTAAAATGGCTGTGGCCCCATCTCTGCCTCTAACACAGAGCCTTAACCAG